CCGACATGGGCAAGACCTTACGGTTCCGCCGGATATTTTCATCTCATCTTCGCTGCATTGGTGCTGTCGGCAAAACTGCCGCGATAGTCTTCGATGGGATGGTCGAGTTTCTCATAGGTGCTACCGGTGTTACGCTTGGGCCCATTTTGACGTTCGGGCGTTGCCGTTGAACATGGTTGCGTGGCACTGCAGCTTGATTTTATGTCCTGCATCGACACTTCATTCAGATAGCACAGCCCTCTTGATGGCCTTGGATATTCAGTTCCTGGTCCGAAACGTTCATTGCAGAAATGCAGGTCTCGTTTCCTGCATCTGCGTTCACGACGCAACACGGTAAGCAATAAGTCGCACCCCTCTTGGACACCTGGGTTGGTTGTCTACGAAAACATCGGCGTTGGGTTCGCTGCCCGTAACGCAGGGCTTGACAAATTACAACGTAGTTTGGCGGAACAACTGTCAACTATTTGGCCGAAAGGCAGGCCGGGCGCCTCGGAAGATCTGGAATATTGATGGACTGGAGTGTGTCATCACTTTCACCCAAATTCTTCTCTTCAAAGATACGCACGGTGTTTCATGGCCTTACGACCGTAACGTGAGGTTGCTCGATGAAGGGCTGCCCCACGATGATAGGAATCACCTGCCACTCATTTGGCACGATCAGCACGGGGATGTTGGCTGTGCTTGGTCTACTGTGAGGTTAACGTTGTCCTGACCCATAGCTCCGATGGTCAGCGGCTTCACCATCACCATGCATTTGATCCCGACCCGATCAGCATCCTCACTTTGAATAGTGACACACTGACTGCCGAGGTCGATGTACACTCTAACTTTGCTCCCGTTAACTTTAGTCAGCAGGAAATACTTTTCGTTCGCCGCATCTGCTGCACGGATGTTCAGAACCACAACGCTTTGAAAGAGGCGCAGCTCGCTTTCCCTTTTCCTGCGGTTCTGCGCTTCGTGTCCACTTCGGTTGCAAACGTTGCACCTCGCCTTCCGCCGATGTTCGGAGTTTTGTTGGTCTTGCTTACTCTCGTTCAAGGCCGTTTCCGCGGCTAGGTTTTCCTTGTTGTCGTGGCCCGCAGGATTTTCAAGTTCGCTCGCCTTATAATATTTTGAGTCCCGGAAACCAACGGTTCCGACTCGCTCTTCAAATGCTTGAGGCAACTCAGAAGCTCCTCCATAGAGTCGTATGTGCAGGTGCTGATGGCTCGGATGGTATGCCGATTGTTTAGGCCGGTGATCAAATATTCGATGCAAGCTTCCTCACTGAGGTTACAACGACATGCTTTGGCCAATTTGTCATAGCAGTAGCACTTGATAGGCTCACCTCGCTTGTAGATTCAGTCTCCATTTCCCGGTGAAGCCTCTGCATTCCAGCTGTCGTGGGAGAAGCACGTATGAGCTCCACTTCCACTCGGACCAGCTTTTGTTGAGACAGGAGGGAGTCGTACCACACCTTAGCCGGTCCATGCAACTTTGCGAGTGATGTGTGGCAAGATGTTACTCCGTCTGTCCAACGATAGACTTCCGCTAGGTCGTCCACGCGTCGAATCCATGTGCCGATAGTTCGCGAGTCCGACAATGTTGGTTCGAACAAAGGGACCAGGCGCGATGTCTCCCCTGCGCTGATTACAGGCATGGCTGCTGCCTGTTGCGACTGGAGCTGTGCAGTCTTGTTGATGGCTTCCCCCACTGTTGCTTGTACGGTGGCTTGAAGTACTGCCGCCATGTCGAACGCTGGTCCGGGTGTTGTAGTGGTGCCGCCGATCGACACACTGTCATGCACGCCTCGGCTTGCGATGCCTTCCCGCCGTCGGTGCTCCGCCATCTTACTTCGCATGTCGGAGCCGTTGAAGATGTCCTGTTGCGAGTGACAGGCATGGCTAGGCTCGATGGATGACTTCTGGACGTACGCTATCCCACTTCTGAATTGTTAATGCAAAACGATAATGATTCGGGAGACTGGAGGGAAAAGACTGGCAAAGAAACAACGGTTACTTTAACAAAACGACGTTTATTTAGGATAAAGTAAAGAAAACTGCTGGAGAGACGAGAATACGGTGTCCCTCCTGTGGCGCAGTCGTCCCTCTTCTGCCTGCTCTCAGCACCTACACACAGTCGCAAACCCGAACTCACCACAGGGGGTTCACTTTGGTGTTACATTACAGCTCCGGCCGGCTCGGCTTCGCGCAGTGGTCATGGCCTGGCGCCATCTTTCGAGTTCTGTTTTGTGCAACAACGGGCGCGCACACACAGGATTATACTAAAGCCTAAATTGGGTGTCATGGACCCTTTAAATGCCACAGCATTGTTGACATAAGTTAACTACTAAAGAAAAATCTTTGTGTTACACCTAACCTTTTCAGAACTGAAACTCAGCAGAAGTTGGAAGAAATCAAAGCCATGAAAGACAAGATGCGGGAGATCTCTGAGCAGGCACGCACCAAGGAGGAGATGCACAAGCAGTTGGTATGTGCTTGCTGGACAGCAGGTTTATCGTGTCTGTGCTTAGATATATGAAGCAAAAAAAAAACTTCTTTTTTTAGGTTGCGGAGTACGAAAAGCTACCCAAGGATGTAAATCGTTCTTCCTACACCAAGCGTATTACAGAGATTGTTGGCAACATCAAGAAACAAAAAGAGGAAATCGCAAAGGTGAGGAACTTGTATCTCCTCTATCAATAACTGCATATATTCGTGAAAGCCATCATTGACGAGCCACATTTATAAATAAATTTCGCACCCGCGGCTTTTGTGTACAGCTGCTCTTGCAAAAAATGGGAACTTACTCTAACAACAGCTATGATATCCTAATTTGCATGCTAGCATGCTTAAGTGAATTAGCATACTCTGAGGCTTGTACTTATTCCTTATAATGTTTAGAGGTCCCGTCGAAAGTTGATTTAAGCACGGACAAATATTTCGAAAGATCATGTTAGCATGCAAGTAAAAGCCATGACTACTGTAAAATCCCAAGGAAGTTCCCCCCCTTTCCCACGGTGAAAAGTGATCCATCGATATTTGGAAGGCAGGCCCTCGCTCAGTCGGAGACCAAAGTTCTAGAAGCTGGCGGAAGAGGCGCTAGGAATAAATAATGCGCACCTGTGCTTTCAGTGCAATGCCTTGTTTAATGCTCATGCATTCACTGTTTATATTCAGCCTCGTCAGACAAATAAAAACTGTGGAAATGGCGGGATGGGTGTGGTGGGCACTCGCTCCGGTCATTCATGCACATTTTAGATCTCTCTCTCAAAATAAGAAAAAAAAAAAAGAGACTTTTGCTAAGGTAAGGGTGCTTGCTCAGGATTTCACGGTAGATTTTTATTGTGATAGCAATTATATGGACACTCTTGACTGATTTCTGCTCACTAGCAGTATGCAGCAGCCGGAATTCAGTGTCCGATTAAGAAACGTGGTTGCTTGAAAACTTGAGACATGCATTTTGTCAGCTATTTGTACTTTACCACGAAATCATTACATTTATATTACCTGCAGTGTGGTTACCGAGACACAATGAATGGAAATTCTTATCTAATGAAACATTTTCTCTCCTTTCAAGGTTTTACTGGACACCAGGAGCCTCCAAAAGGAAATTAACCAACTCACTGGGAAGCTGGACAGAACATTTACAGTAACAGATGAGCTGATATTTAAGGTTCGTCCGAGCGCTATCCCCTTCGTGCATAATCACGATTGTCTGCATTTCTATGATCATGTATGTACTCAAGTTCTCTTACAGGACGCCAAGAAAGATGAAGCTGTGCGAAGGGCATACAAATACCTTGCTTCAGTGCATGAGGTATGTGGATCAGCTTTGTTCTCTTCAGTCTTTAATGTGCAGTAAATGTCTCTTAAAGAATAAGTTTTTATGATCTATAGACATGTTGTGCAAGCCCAAAGGAAAGACTGGGCTCTGTCGAATCTTTCTTGTGGGATAGCACAGCATATTATGCGTTCTTTGTCCCACTTTTTTTTTTAGGAGATCAGGCAGAATTCACACGAGGTCAGTCACAGACTTTCAGACATTGGCTTTTGTTGAGAAGACAGTGCCATCATTAAGCCATGAAAGAGGCATTTAATGATGTTAATTTAGCAAACATGCACAGATTGATCTTACGATGCTGACAGTGTGCTGTACAGGCATCTTTTCATCTTCTCAGCAGCGATTGTTAGTATATATTTGGTATCATAGGACACACTGAGCCAATTTTAAACTGTGTTTAGAAGCAGTACTCAGTACCGCATTGGCAATGATTTTCAGATAGGCATAAAGCATATGAATGAATTTCATCAGAATATCTTAGATAAATGAAAAAGAAAGCATGCAAAAAACTCGGTATCTGTTAGACATGGAAATGTTATTGATAAGGGAAGATTGAGGGGGTACTTTGGTATGCCAGACGAATTGTGGGCTTTGGAAAAGACAGTATTTTTGCACATGTACAGTGCTCACAGGTTGAAACGGGACAATTTAGGACTAAGTAACGCGCATAATTCCATTTCCACAGTCAACAGTTCGAGCTTTATCTGCGTATTTCGACTAGAACGTGTAGATCAGAGCCACCATTATATTTATTTAGAGAACAAATTCATTGTCACGTGACGTTATCTTGAGCTAGCGCGCGTAGCAGTCATTACTAGAAAAAAAAATTGAAACATTTGAATTCGTTAGCACTGTACATTTGTCAGTGCATGTGGAATTTTCGTTAAGCCACTAACCAAATAGCTTTGATGTCAACCTCAGTGATTGAGCCCAACAAGTTTTTTTTTCTTCACAGAATTCAAACCAGCTTCTGCAAGCAGTGGAGGAAACAGGGTCAATCACACGAGAAATGCGTGACTTGGAAGATCAAATAGAGCAGGAGAGCCAGAAGAAAGTCACAGCAAACTTGGAGAGGATCACTGCAGACTACAAGCAGATGAAGCAAGAAAATGCATCGCTACTAGCCCAGCTTAAAGGTTAATAACTGTTGCAGGAGTATAAAATATGTGCAGACATTATTTTTGTAGTTAATTTATATATTTCCACAAAATAAAGAGTACTATAATACACGAACACTTTTCATCAAGGAACTTTGAACAGTATTTCACCATCTTCATCATAGTAGCACTTTCCAACCCTATACACAGCAGTACTCTCGTTTCTTTAAGTGGGACGGTATTGTGATGTGCTGTCTTGGTGCCTCGTCTCCGTCTTCCGAATACTTGTAGTTCTCTGCAATCTCGCTTCTGATTCGGTGTGACAATGTGTCATCTTTTCTATACTTGTGAGCTTCAAGAATGTCAAATGTTACCACGTCTTCAGTAGTGCCTTCTGGTGTCACAGCGCCACCTGTGTCCTGGAGTTCTGTTGATGGTGTGTCTGAAACATTCTCACTGCCTGCATGTATTGCATCTCTGCGATCCACGCCTTCACCTGTATAATGCCTAAACTTCGTTTCTACAGCCTTGAATTCATCTATTCGGACATGGCTACCATGGCTGCCCATTTTCTTGAGTGATGTTGCAGCCGCCATATCTTCCGTGTAAACGTCGTCGTACGTTTGCTTGGGACTTGCCTGTTCATATTTCTTTGGTGACACACTCTTCTCGGGGTTCTTCAGCTTTAAGTAGGTGGCAATTAGTTTGCTGTATTCACCAGGTTTTGGAGAAAGGCGCGACAGCTCCAGTGCCCGCGTGTCACCTCCTTGTTGTGGCATAGGAAGTGTCTTGTTCCCATATGCCTGGTCTTCCTGAAGTTTTCCCTCCATGAACAGCTTCTTAGTGGTTGGCGAAATATATTCATTCCCCTTGCCAGTTTTTAATGCCTTCCACTTGAGCTGTACGTTTCTGTCGTGTTCTGCAATCTGTTCAGCTGTTTCTTTTCTAAATTGGGATTTCAGCAGCTTCTGCAAGTAAATTGCAAAAAATGTGCTCAGTAAAAAAAAGAAAAAAATGTGAGAGAAAATATAACGAGACAATACAAGGCACATTTTTTTCCCAAACTCTCGAGAGTTAATTAAACATGCACAAACAGTGCAAATTTACGCAGTCCTAGAAGGGGCAGCTCACCTCTAGCATAGTTTCCAGCAACAAAATGGTAGAGATTTTGCATGCAAAAACAGTGACTTTATTGCCTGTTGCTAAGCAGACTTATCACTGCCTCCATTGCAGTAGCTTTAATAAGTAATAATACACATTAGTGACGATCATTGCCAATGTGTAGATGCGACACTTCCCGCACTTAGGGATTTATGGTTCTCAGTCTTCACTGATAATAGGACTAAAGGTAAGCCTCATTTAATGCGAGTGTAAGCAATTACAATGCCAGCTCACAGAAGCTGTGCTTGCTTGTACAGGGTCGTCCACACCACAGGTGAACACCTTGTTAGTACTCGGTGCTTAATTGAAGCTGCAGTGTACTATGCAATTAAAAAAATATATAATTGTTTATTGATGCCATGCTAGACATCATATATAATAAACACTTCCCTGATGAAGTAGAATCGACGCTCCAACTCTAGTAGCCTCGAATACCAACGAGGCTTATAAATGTGACTAATCCTGTGCAGAATGATTGTACATCTAGTCACAAATTTTAAGTGATAGATATAGCAGTATCAGCTTTTTCACTTATAAATCTGCTCATTAAAAAGAAAGTAACATGTTTCTATGAATACACAGCATGAAGCATGGCATACCATGTATGCAAAACAGTTGCAACACGTGCATAAGGTAGCATTGCAGGGTGCAAACAAGGCGCTCAAAAAAATGCTTCTGGTGCGGAAGATAATTTCACTGGGTTGACCATGAGCAGTTTTCTCGTCGGACTTTGCAACTTAAGATGGTCATTACGCAGTAACGGTATATCAAACATTCCTGCTCTCCTCGTGAATTTTCAAGCCAATAGAAGCAGCTGAAAACATAACGAAGTCCTAAGACTGTCTAAGTTTATTTAGTGCGTCGCGTACATGTCTCCTTGCACTTAGTGAGGTCTCTTTCAAAGCGTGTGCTTTTTCACGGCTAGCATATTCATGAAACCCGAGTGCGCATTAAAAAAAAAATACCAAACGGTATCGACAGCGCTTACTTTTGCTCCCAGCACGCTGACAGGGAAACACTGGGCAATTTTTTCAACAGTCCATTCGGACGGGTCGAGGTTGTGCAGGTAGCGGATTTGCTCCTTCGCAGCCCACGACAGTAAGTTTGTTTCCGGCGGAAATAAATCCTTGAAGTATTTCCGTCGTATAATCGCTGACCTTGCTCTACGACGTTCCAACCGGAGTTCTCTGAAATATATGTTAAAGAACGTTAGCATGCGCAAACTTATGCCGGAGCGAAGCAGTAAACACGCGCGAAGGTGAAGCTAGCACTTACTCCATGTGACGATCGTAGTAATGTTCAACGTGCTCCAGGACCTCTTCTGGGTCTTCCTCTGCATCGTCAAAATCGTAAGTACTCGATCTATCGCTTCCCAATAGCCCGTTTCGGTCCGGTTCCTTCAACTTCACTGAGAGCGGCTTTACTTTCCTGAACGGGTTTCGGGTTTTAAAGTGCCGGTGCCTCACAGTTTGGGTCATAGAGTGGACAATGCCGCCTCGCACAACGCGAGAACATAACCTTATCATCGTCATTAGAGGTTTTTAGTTTGACGTTTTTACGCTCCGCTTAGCAGCTAAGCGGAGCGGGAACACGAGTGCGCATGCGCTCTCCGCTAAGGCCTTAAGCGGGTTACCGGAGCGGGGAATACGGTCCGCTTACGAGCAGCCTAAGCGGAGCGCGGTGCGTCGCTGCCGTTTTTGCAAGCGGAAGGGCGACAACCCACGCGCCCTCTCTCTTGCGTGCAGCAACTTTGCTCATAAGATGGCTTCCTCCGGACTCCGGAGACGGCACGCTTTCCGCGAGTGCTGCAACTTCGCCGTCACCTGCCCAGTGCAAGCCGCGAAAACACAGTTTCAACGGTGAAAAATAAAAACGCCGCCACCACAAACGCGTAAAATGCGCAAACAACACACAGTGAATGCTTGCAATGGATCTGGAACGGAACCTTGCTGGCTTTTGAGCGGCTACTATCAAGTCAGAGCTTGCTTCTTTGTCAAAAAAATAGGCGGTTAATACATTGAAAGTGGATATCTAAATACTTCATGAAACGATCATTTATACGTTATTGTTTTGCTTTGTATACGTGAAAAAAATGTTTTTTATTTTGTTTATCGACGATGAAAACGACCAGAGGGCGCTGCAACTGCGAAAGGTCCGCTTCGCTGCCGGCAACGAATAACTAAAAGAGGAAAATCGCCCGCCGCTCCGCTGCGGCTTCGCGGGTGCTGCCGGAGCGGAGCGGACCACAAAAACGTCAAACTAAAAACCTCTATTAACTAATAATCGGGGATTCATGAAACTGAGCGAAAGAAAACGCGCATGATCGCGTACTTGCCTCTGCGTTTTCCTTTGCTGCTCTGAAGATGATGATGATGGTACGCGCGTGGCAAAATTCAGTTACGGTTTCGTTTTTGAATTTAAAAAGTACTTTGTTTTTTTTTTTTCAAAAAAAAGTGCCTGCTCAATAAACCACCCTTCAAATAATTGAACTTCAAAGCGAAGGGTGAAACACGTTTTAGCTGGTGACACTCTTTGCAATCTTGAATTATTTACGGCACCGCGTGAACGCATTATATATGACATCTTCCAGCGCTATTTTTTTTTAATCTTTTGTGTGTGTGGGGGGGGGGATGAGTGGAGGGCTCCACACAATTTGTGTACAGGGGCCGTGAAAAACTTCTAGGCCACGCTGCCACATGAATACATTGAATAGCCTGGGATTTTTGGACGGCCCCTGTACGTGTATGGGCTTGTACATGCATGCATGTTTGCGCGTATAGCCATTTTTACAGGAGGGAAAAAAAAAAAAAACGCCATAATGGATTGCATCCTGGAATACAAAAGCTGAAGTCACAGCTTCGGAAGTGCATTTTAGGAGGGTCATTCCAATTTGTGCAGCCCAAAAAGGACTATGGCGGCGCCCAGGAAGCCGTTTTTTTTTTTTTTTTTTTTAGGAGGCGTTGAATTTTCGTCGCCCAGCTACGCCACTGCCTTTCTTACATTTACTTTGGCAGAAATGAAAGCTACTTATCGCGCAAACATCTTTCTTCACAGTATCAGCGTTGGACGCAAATGCCTTGATATCGCCATATAGTTCCCTGAAGGTGCTACCGGTTCCGCTCACGTACATAAGCGTCCCGCCTGCAATTGTTGTGGCGCAGAATTCGAAATGGTGGCTTCATCCTCGCTAAAAACTTATCATATATTCTGCAAGGGGGCCACAGCATATATGTTTTTTTAAATTTTACAGCGAAAGCTTTTATATGAGATCACAACTCGGATCTCGCGCAGCGCCGTAGTTGTGCGCTGCCGGTGTCCGTAACCACATCGCGCGAAATTATAAAAAAAAAATTCTTACCGATGACACAGTGGAGCTCGAACCGGGTCCGCAGGGTGCCATCCCAGTATTCTACCACTGAGGCACCCCGCATTTTTTTTTTATTGCCTTCTTGGAACTTGTTGGCAAACTTGCCTTAGGCAGGCTTGATGTCGGGAAAGCAATCGCGTTAATATGACTTATAAAGCGCTTTAAAACAGCGCAAGAACACGTAGTCGTCGCACAAAGCGAATAGCGTAACGAGTGGGACGTCCAATGCTCCAACCCATTACAAAAGCTTGTTCTTGTTCAGCTATTAACTATGGCGCATACCCACTTCAAGTATAATTCCTCATCGTCGTCAGCCACTGCATGAAAAATTGGCACAAAGTTCCTCGCAATAGTTTAGCGGATACCACGCTTCTCAGATGAATGACGAAAAATAGCATAGCGAATGCCGGCCTACTACCCAAACATTTTATTAATAATGTCATAGTGGGCATCAAGCAAGTGTGTTTGCAGTAGTTACCCAATGAGTGTTTAGAAAAGGCTCTGAAAGGCCGCTCTTCTATATAGCTTTCGTTGTTACCGTCTTCCGCGCAGGCCTGGCGTTTTTTTTTTTTTTTGATATACTCACTTCTCTAACGACATGGCGGTGCAAAACTTTCGGTATTACAATTTTTTAGTTGTTGTTACAATTGTCATTCGGAACGCATTGTGCCCCACCGTGGTGGTCTAGTGGCTAAGGTACTCGGCTGCTGACCCGCAGGTCGCGGGCTCGAATCCCGGCTGCGGCGGCTGCATTTCCGATGGAGGCGGGAATGTTGTAGGCCTGTGTGCTCACATTTGGGTGCACGTTAAAGAACCCCAGGTGGTCGAAATCATCGGAGCCCTCTTGTACGGCGTCTCTCATAATCATAGGGTGGTTTTGGGACGTTAAACCCCACATATCAATAAATCGGAACGCATTGCCGTGCGCCTCAATTTACCATCGCTTGACCAATGAGCCATCACTGAAATGCAACCACTGAAAGATACTCGACTGCGTCCAAAATGGGCATGTCCGTGCTGGTTGGTTATGCATCGATACTACTTTAGCTCAAACTTCTGTTACATATGGGACGAAAAATAGCGACGCACACAAACACGAACTTTCAACTGAATATTTACTGTTCTGGCATGTATTTTATGATAGCAATCAAAACTTCCAACTGAATATTTACTGTTCAGGCATGTATTTTATAATAGCAATCACGCCTGCTTTACTCCGCTTCCACAAATCACGACAGCCTAAAGTGTTAGTGGGCTTACAAGGCAAAAATCATTAGTTACATGCACAATTAAAACTTGCACATAATTCCTCTATAGCACTGTCACAGGCTGCATTTAGCAATCACAATTATTTATTTGACAGGGCAACGGGCGGCATAGATACACTGGTGATCATTGGCCTTCTCTGCTGCACTACTACATAATTATCTCTTATGTTCCTTGGTCACGGCATATGAGAACTGCACATTTTTCAAACTCCGACGTACATCCTCTGCTTCAACAATGCGTCGCCACTTGACCCTGTAAACCGCCCCGGACATCATACGAATGCTCCCTGGGCCGGTCGTTCAGGTAACTCCCGGTCAGTCCCACATATCTGGTACCGCATGTCAAAGGCAACTAATAGACAGCAGCTTCTGCGCGTTCTGCAAAGCGTACCGAGACCTCTTTCTTATCTTGCGGTGGTATAGCACAGCCGTTAGACAAATCACAGTTAAAATTTCTGTCATTCGTTTAGGATCAGTAGCGGGAATACGGCCTCATCACGCATATGATAACTACAGCGAAAAACTCGCTAAATTGTACTGCATGTTCAGTACATCAATAAATGTCTAAGAAAGCATAAAAGCGCAAAGCCAGCTCGTAACCATTGAACATACGTATTACGGCAGCCGTTGCATGCCAGCTATTTCATTTATATGTTCTTTCAGTCGTTGCAGAAATGCGTGCATGTTGTCTCCCTAACCCCATTTTTTTCTCTCTCTTGTTCAGCGGAGTTCTTGTACAGCGCTGGTTTGTCGTCGTGGACTAAAGAAAAGTCACAGCTTTACCGCAAGGATAAAGCTATGAATGCGATAGCAACAAATTGTAATGTTATGTGAAGAGAGGCTGGCAGCTAACTCTTTGGTATTCGATCTCATGTAACTCTACATAACGCTGGTACCAGGGACACTTTTCGCGGAGTTTCTTCGCGTTGAGAGCGCAGCACGTAGAAAGTTATAGCCTACGAGCCACCCCGCTGATGGCTGCCGTGATAGCCAAATAGCGCGTGGGCCAGCGATGACAACCACGCCGGTAAAACCAAAATTCACACAATTGCTGTTCCAGGACCACACACTCACCCCCTCGCGCCTTTTCATGTCCGTTAAAGACAGGCGGGGCGTTTCCTCTCTACCTGAGCATTTGACAGCCGGTCTATAGCAGGCGGGGGGCTCTTGTCGCATATGCGCCCTCCGAGTCACGGCAGTTGGGCCAGCTTGTTTTATTTCTGCGTCAGCCGCATTAGTCACCCCTGTTAGCGCGTATTACTCGCGGGTAGAACGTACGATGCGCTGGTGAATTTTATCAATGTGGACTTCATAGGAACATGACGGCAAAGGCGACGACAAAAACCCGTCGTGACTGTCCAGATAAATGCTGTCGCAATGAAGAGCAGGAGCAGGAAAGGTTAAGCGGAAGGACAGGGAGCTTAGGCAGCTCTTAGAGCTATCGCAACGAAATCCTCGGGCGGGTATGTGCCAGAGGCATTGTGCAGACCCCACTGCCGAGTACAGCAGCTGCAGGCGTTAAACAAAAACCCTATACTTGGTGAAACGGAGAGAAAGTAGGAAGGGTGGAGATGACGCGGTGAGACGGAAGAAAAGAAATAAATGAAATGAAATCACATTTACGCTCGAGGAGAAACTTCGTTGGTCGCGTACAATAACGATTATCATCATGAGTGCTCTAACTCAGCCGGCACGCGCCCATATCTGTTCCACTTCCAGAGCGTCATCTTAAGTTTCACAAGCAGAACATGCGGGCCGATTTGTCCGGCATGGGATGCAATAATTTGGATGGGTGAGAGATAGTGAGCCTAGAAAGAGAAACATAGATGTAATGAGAAATAAAGGGTGAAAAGGAAGACAGAAAAAGAGAGAGATATAGAAACAGAAACAAAA